GGGAAACCCTGGTGTACATGACAACAAACTTCTCAAACCTTAATTTTTTTTCTGTTTCACTGTAACGTTACTTGCTTACTCAAAATTACTTGCAATGCATTATTACACCTTCTGCATAGTAATATATATGAGAAAAACTCCATATGCAGTACTACGCAGAAGTTTACGTTTTTCTTTTAGTATTTAAGGCTAGCTAAGAAGCTAAATCTGAAAATTTGAAAACTACTACTTCGGAGAGAGTTTCAGTACACACCCCCGGACAGTTGACCAGTACATCATGGTATCACAGTACAGTACAGTATTCACACTCACACTGTAGTTTTCATACCTGCCACAAAACCAACACAGTAAAAACAAAAAAGTTTAGTCAGACAAAGAAGTTTAAATAAAAAGCTTTTTAATTTTGCAAAATAATGTAAGAATCTTTTTGTGCAGTCGGCATAAGATACACAGGCAGATTCGAGTCCTTCAATGTGTCCCTGACAGTGGAGATCAGAATCATTTGGCTAAGTATACGGTTAAATGGCTGTTGTCAGACATGAAGGTGCAGCGCGTTACAAAACTGTTAGATTATGTGAATCTATACTGTATGATAGCAGACTATTAAAGGAAGGAAGGAAGGGGGGAACACGGTACATGACGGCCGGACTATTTGGCACGAAGACAGGGGGCGCCCTTCAGAGTGGGAAATGCTGATTATTTGCAGATTGGTCAAAGACCGCAGCTTCACGAACAAAACCTATGATGACTCCTGATTAGAGGCACACTTTTTCTGACTCATGGTATTGGCCACGTAGCCTATCAGCGTTAGGTATTCCTGGAAGCTGACCTTTCCATCGCTGTTCTCATCCAGTCCCTGCTGCATCTCCTTAATGGAAGACGAGCTGTCCGTGTCCTGGACATGGGACAGGCGAGGAAACGGGAAAGAGAAATCAGTTTCAGGCAGATGTTGTTTTGTTTTGTTTTTGTACTGTTTGGAGTCTGACACTCCCGGGTTCTTACCTCCATGACGGAGCCAAACTGTTGCTGTACCATCTTCTTAAAGGTTTTGGTGTCTAGGTTTTCTTTCCCCTTGGTATAACTGAGAAAGGTGGTCACCAGTGTCTTGATGGCTGACTCCATATCTGAAAACAGTAGAGAACAATTAAACGTGGAAAGTTGGCCAGACGTCACATTCCATCCACATCAAGTCAGTGAAGGAGTTTGACATCAGTGTTCACAAGTAGAAAGCAGATTTTTATTTTTTTCACCTTAGAAATACTTCAGTGTACTACAGTACCCCATTTACAATAATGAAAACCTGATAATACGACGCCTGGGTTTTGCCAAATTTGCTGGAATTCTTTGTAGGGTCAGGAGACGTTTACCGCAGTTTTGGGAGCAAACAGCTCCATGTATCAGTATCGATTGATATCGGAACCAGACATTTAGTGTTTGGACAATATCAGCAAATCAGATATTAGCAAATGTCTAATATCCGACAACCCTAAACATGACTGTAATAATATGAAAAATATTTATCAATGCAGAGGAGAAATGTTTATTTTGATGGATTTATTGCTGTTGGGTGTGGCCTCCAAATATAAACACGCAGCGAAAGGTGAGACACAGGTGACTTCAGCGCAAACAAGAGGAGAAAACAGGGGTGGGTGGGGGTGTTCTGAGGTGAACAGGGCAGGAGAGAGGGGCAGTGGAGGGTGGGCGAGTCTGCGGAGGTAAACACAATGGGAGACTGTGATCTCCGACGGTGGTCATCTGATCCCCACGAGGCAGCAGCAGGCCGCGGGCTTGAATTACCGCCTGGAGCCCGTCTGCTGCAGCTGCGGCCCTTCAATCCCATCAAGCACTGCAGGAAGACGCTGCACACACGCCAGCCAAAATACATGACCCAGCCAGTCAGCTGAGCACGGATGGATGGAAGAAGCCTGAACACAAACACTGCTGCTTTTATCCAGAAAACTCTGGCAGGCTTTTGAAACAACAGCGTCCCTGTTAGTACGTCGTTAGCAACACGGCAGCGTTCCCAGCTAAGGCAGATATCTGCTGCACGAGTGTCTCACGGAACAAAGCACCAGTGCTATCTCCATGTCGTGCTTGGTTGACAATAACTTCCATATGCATCGAATTAGAACCATTTGCCGAGGGTGTGGAAAAAAAAAAGCAGATCTGGAAAGAGTCAGAGAAACGAAACAAACAAACAGAACAACAGTAATAAATCTGGAATTTTAAAGTGAAGGCATTTAATTGGCAACACTGTTCCAAAATTAATTCCATATTTTCTCGTGGCCTGAAGTAGAACTGTACGATATATGCACCGTAAACAAAGTATTATATCATCTTGGCTTCAGTCTATTCTGTCATCTGTCCTAGAGGGCGTTCTCGTCACACTTCACCACTAATAGTAATATAAATAATAATAAACCTAAATGAATGTTAGTCTATAAAAAGCTCACCTTAACAAATCAGACAAACCCCAACCCTCACTGATTTCCCAGAAGGTGAACCACAGTCACCACAAATTAACAGTGCTTCAGATGTTCAGGGTTTTTTCATTGTAACTAAAATACTTAACAATCTGGTACTGGTTAATAACAAACAACAATACAAAAGAAAAAATGTAAATGACTTACAAAAATACATTTTATATTTGGTATATTCAAATAAATATTTATACACTATGAAATCATTATGTTTATGAAATACTTTTTTTATTTTCAAGACAGATTAAAAGAATTTGGCTTGAAAAACTTAAAAACCCGTAAAGTAATGATAGTGTGAGGATTCCCGCCTGTGGGGGCGCCAGAGCACCTCACGGAAAACAAGAAAAGGGGAAGTAGAAGTGTGGGACAATATCTAAAGTAGCTAACTTCCAAAAACAGTAATTGTAAAGTAGCTAACTTCCAAAAACAGTAAATGATTCTTACTAGGGACAAAGGAGAATGACTACGACTACTACTACTACTACTACAACTACTACTACTACTACTACTACTACTACTACTACTACTTTAAGAAAATGCAGGGAAAACAAAGATTACATAAAGTTTGGGTTTTTATAATGTTTGACAGTACGTGACATTTTTGGGCATCGTTTTCAAACTAATACTAGTACTTCAAATTGACTTTACTTAATTTACAAACTCGTGATTTTGGATTCAGGTTTTTGGACTATGGTTTCTTTTTTATGTTTTTATGTTTTTATGGAGTCTTACTAAGAGCTGGAATGTTATAATATTTTGTGTAAAATTACACAGAAATATGAACCAAAACGCGTTGTGTTAACTCGTATTTTTCAGCGTGGCAGAAATGTATCTTCTCTCGTGTGCAACAGCTACAGAAGCAAATAAAAACCTCTCTGTGGGGTAAAAATACTTTATTTTTGTAATGTAGAACTGGGGCAGGGAAAAGATTGAGTCAGCAAATGTGCAGCTCCACATTGCCAAGGACACTGCTCACCGAAAATAAAAGGCCTGGATAAAAACCACAGATCCTTGACTGGAGTCATTTGGTATCCCAGCAGCGTGGGTTAGCGCTAACTGGAAACTAGCGGGATGTTGTTGGAGTAACTGTAGAAGCTGCTAAATCACCCATCTGACACAGATGTCACACCTCAGTGCGTGCACTGTGTAACACATGCTCGCATTCTGGTTTTAGTGTTTTGTGAGTACTTAACATAGACATAATGAATTCCTCAACCTATTTCTTTCACTATAACATTTACAAAAGCCTAATTTTGATCCCAAACCTAAATCTAAGCTGACCCCAACTCGGAACTTCTCTCAGAAGTGGGCACCTGAAAAATGTCCCCACAAAAGAAAGCGTCCCCAAAACATCAGTGTTTTTCCATAACACTGTCCCCACAAGTATACATAGGCCAGAAACGCACACACTCACGCAACAGTTTGTGGTGTTGTTTTTGCCAAAGGGTCATAGTGACAGCTTTGTTCCACACACACACACACACACATGTAAATGGTCAGCACTAATTAGGACTACTGTTGCATTAACCTAATTACTGGGCGAGGGAGAACTGGCACCCAAACCCTGGGTTATGTTTCGCGTCTTTGTGCCATAACATCACATACACGCTGGTGTTCTTCCATACAGGTGAGCACCTGTCACCATCGTGCTCTTCATTATTATTTAATAGGTTACTATAATTGCCCTCACACCCTGCGCAGGGCAAACAGAACAGAGCAGGCAGACCAGTATCTACGCCGTGTATTTGTTCTAGTACGGGCCATGAATCAACATAAAGACTCTAGTGCTGTAGTGTTGTGTAATGAGGAGACCGTGAAGTCAATGAAAAACTGGCTGCGAAACCAAGAACACAATCGTGGGAGATGACGTGAACAGCAGCTTCCTCTGACTCAGCATCACGTGTTAGCCGTTAAACGACACTACACTACATCAAACACAGCTAGTTCCTCACTTTTTTTTAAGTAATTGTGTTGGTTATCATTATTTTTATTATTATTATAAAGAGCTAGAAACTTATTGTGGTGCGTTCACTTGTCAGACGGCTGCCATCTGTTTGCATTTTCTCTTTTTCTGGGTCTTTCAGAAACGTTTAATAAAAGGTAGACGGTGATAAAAGCCAGTGCAGTATTTGTAATCAGCAGATACAGAGCAGATGTTTAAACCTAAACAGGAAGTACTACCGTTTATTTTTATAATTTGTAAACAGTTAAAACCCATGGAAAAAAATAAAAATTACACAATTTATAAAACGAGGTAAAACAAGGTCATAAATTACTGGACATGGATGCATTTAAACCACCCAGTAAACACACTTAAAGACTCTCTACTTGTTATTCACACGTTAAACTCTGGGTGGCCACATAAAATTATATTGAGTGCCAGATGCATCCCGCAGGCCTTAAGTTTGACAAATGTGCTGCAAATCTGTGTTAATAATTAATTTCTTTTGCCGAACATAAACCATTTATTTGGCACTAGTTTTTCCAAAATATTTTCCACTGGTTGCAAACAGTTTTTAAATGTGTCAGATCGAAATGGATTATTGTAATAAAAAAGAACCCCTGAATAACAGAGACTTCAGGAAACGCTGTGTTTTGCCGTGGCTCAGATGAAGGCGGTGCAGAAGAATAATCACCAGTGAGTTGTTTTTCATGGGCCACACAGTCTGTTTGAGAAATGAGTCTGAACACTGAGTTCACTGTGTAGACACTTAAGAGCTGAACGTTGCTTCGAGGCTCGACAAGTACAAACCAGTTTAGTGGTAAGTCAGGTAAGGCCACCCAACCCCAACCAGCAGCTGCTCCTTCTCCAACTCACTCACAGCAGCAGAAACCACCACCAGAAAACACTGGTTTTGTTCTGCTTTTTTTTAAATTTATTTTCACACTGGTTTTGTTCTGCTTTTTTTTAATTTATTTTATTTAGATGTAAATGTGTGGTTGGTGCGTTGACATTAACATATGCAAATCACAGGGATTAGATTCTGTTAGATCAAAAAGAAAAATGTCTCTGGTGGACGTGATGTCAGAGGAACAATGTTCTACAGATCATGTGAAGGTTTTGTTTGTGTCTTTTCTAACTATTCGGATTCTGATCTATGTATCAGTCTGATCTAATCTGAAATAATCTAATATGACCTTGTTTAATCTGATCTAATGTAAACATGGGCGTGGCTGACACTTCTCGTGGAACATGTCAACATTTTTTGAACTAGTCTATCTATCGACCTAATATAATGCAAATGAAAACGTGTTTTTTCAAAATTAGCTTGTACGTCTTTCTAACTCACTCAAAAGGAAAATGTAAACATGGGCGTGGCTGACACTTCTTGTGGAACATGTCAACATTTTTTTTAACATTATACAAAGGTTCCATCGGTAAAATCCATTTCAGCAGCCATTTTAATGGATGTTTTAACATTATACAACGGTTCCATCGGCCTATCTGGGCCTGTGGCCCAGTGGTAAGAGGATCAGGCTTCTTATCAGAGGACTGCAGGTTCAATCTATCCCAATGCAATCAAAGAGAAACTTAATCTAACCCGGATTTCGGAGTGGACGGTTTTTTCGGTGTAGTTTTACCACATTTGAAAACGTATCTATCTGCCCAGCATCTGTTTATCTAATCTAATCTAATCTAATCTAATCTGGGATTTGGGCGTGGCAGTCATGCTCAGAGGTATTTCAAGAATTATTAAAACGTGCGCATTCATTAGTCTCTTCCTGACCGATTAATAAACATGATCCATTCTAATCTAATGTAACGTAATCTAGGACTGGGGTGTGACTCACTTCCGGCACCGATGTTTTACCTGTTTATCCGTCACCGCCCTGTTCACTTCACCTCGCCTCCACGTATTAGCCACAGCTTGAACCACCGACTAAAACAAACCGTTCGAATCCCCCCCTCATTGTTAATGAACCTCACCGATAATCTAATCCCACTCTGTCTCCGTGGGTGTCCCGGGTTGACGGGGCGGAGGTTAGGGCGCAGTGGGATCGGCGGCTGATCCCTGAAAACTGCTGCGTGCCGTGTCGTGCGTGACGGAGACGCCCGGGGTTTGCCCCACATCCCCTTTTAGCACCAAGAAAGCCTGGCAATTTGTGGAACGAGTCGAGGCAGAACTGACACAAACAGATTAATAAGTAAACGTCACCGGAGACTCTGGAAGTGTAAAGGGTCCGGGATTAGATTACCAAGATGGAGAACCCGATCCCCGGGTTCCGTGAAGACAATACAGCCCCGCTGTTATACAAAATTAAAGACAAGAGTAGAAGAGTAGAAAAGAAATGAAAACTCCACTGCTCTCACTGACTGAGCTCGGCTTCAGTGCGGAGGAGGGGGAGAGAAAAAAAAATCCAGAAAACTATGTTGTCAGAAAAATAATAAAAATAAAAGTCCGGTCACCAGAAAACATGCATTAAACGATCCATAATGGTAATGAAGCGGACTCACCTTCACTGAGAACAGGCAGGAAAAGATCAGAAAGTGCTGTGTGAGAAACTTCTCCTTCCTCAGTGATCCTCCTCTTCAGTCCTGGGCTGGATTAAGCAGCAACACATATCTTTTCCGTGATTTAACTTCTCACTGCAGCCAGCGTCTTTTTTTTTTCTTTTTTTTCTTCATTGTCATAGGGCGTGTGCTAGAGAGAGAGAGAGAGAAGGAATGTGAAAAGAGGAGCAGCTTGAGCAACACTGCACTTTTCAGCAGCTTTTTCTCACAAATATCTGGGCTGTTGATAAAACAGAAGAAGTCTGTGAGTGTGAGCAGCTGAAGTGTTGGCTCTTCTGTCTCTGACATATTTGCACATTTAACACAGTATTATTGCTGATTTTTTTTTTCTTTTTGTTTTTAAACCTTATGTCTGTCTAATACTTTCACTCAACATGTAGGAACTCAGCTTTCCCTTAAGGACAGCTGGAACAAAGCCACACCCTGAAACTTCACCGACTCACATCAAGAATGAAGAGACAATGTTTAACAGATTAAAAAGTTGGTTTAAAAAAACAAAACAAATCACAAACTCAGATTTGGAAGACAAGAATCACATTCATATTTTATGTTCCCTACTCCCTTTTAACCCTTCGCTGGAGTGTGGTTTAATCTTTTACACATCAGGTGAAAGGGAGGGACACGCTGTGGAACGCGGTTCCTGTGCTTGCCCTACTTGGAAAAGGTCACAGATTTGATGCCCTGTCTTTTTTTTTCCACTAGGGAGTACTTTACATGTATCTGACATAAACTTGCAGGACTGTGTTAATTGTTCACTCTGAACTGACCATTGGTGTGAATGGTTGTCTGTCACTGTCTGTGGCCCCAGGTCAGTGACCTCAGGGTCTGGCCCAATGACTGCTGGGAATGGCTGTAGCTCCCAAAGCGACACCAACAGTGAAACGAATGGCCGTCAGATGTTATGTTTACGTTTTTATGCATTTGGCAGATGTTGATGTGTAAAAAAAAATACAAGTGTAAGTCAAAAAGAACATTTTTTGTAAAACTGAATTTTGAAAACAAACAAACAAAACCAGACAGTTCTAGATTAACATCTGTTGCAAAGTTTTAATCACTTTTTTTTTTACATTTCTAGTCAAATTTAGTTTAAAAAAACGTGACCTTTCCATTTTTTAAGGTCGGACAAACCTGATCATTTAAAAAGTAACAACTGAAATTCTGTTGGAAACGCCTTGAAAACATGTCTTGTCGTGTTTTAGTGATTAAAATGCAAACTTTGGCCCACGTAATTTATACACCCCAAAGTTTGTGTTCTTACTTTGTTTTATTTTCTCAGTGCTGACACCCACGGTCTCGTTCACAGCAGCCTCGGAGACCTGTGAGGACAAGTATTTGACTGTGACCAACGACCTGCACCATGTTTCCAAACATGTGAAATTGCTCAGCAGTATACTGTGACAGTTCACCATTTTATCAGCAAGACAAGAAGGGAGAACACTGATAAAAAAAAGACAGTTAAAACAAACTTTAGGGTGTTTTCCATTTGGCAGACTTCCCTTAGTTTATGGCACACAGACAAGTCAGTAAGACACGTACAAGTGCAACAGGGTGTGTGAGGACACACTATTGGCTGAAGCCCCCATGCTTGCTCGCGAGATGTCCAATCAGCTGCCAGAACTCCAGGAAGTTGAGCTCTCCATCATTGTTCTTGTCCAATGATCTCATGAGTTGGTCAACAACAGCAGGATCTGCAGAGTCCTGCAGGAAAACAGGAAGAGATTGGACATGTGTCATATACAACCAACCAGCCCCTGTGAGTCACAGTGGAGGATGCAGTGTTGAAATACAGCTCGTGAGGGCGTGCGTGTGCGCGCTCGCTCAAGCACGCGCGCGCGCGTTAAAAAGGGGTGGCAAAGTGGCGCCACTGACTTGCTACAAAGAAAATGCAACATCAGCGACCTGATTTGGCAACAGGAGCCGCGGCTCTGTCGCCATCTAGTGGATATTGCGTTTACTTCGCCGCGATTTCTTTTTCTTTTTTTTTTTTTTGAACTCGGTTTCTCGAGGAAAAGCGACTCTCCATAATTATGATGTGGTTAAACACAAAGAGAACATGAAAACAGCTCGACCACAACAAGGAAAAGCTTCTCTGAAGTCTCTGATGTTTGACTTGCTGCTCATGATAATGCAGTGGTCGTGCAGAAACTAAACATTTGCCATTATGTATTTATTTCTGACATAGTAGACTCAGAAGTATGCCGGGTCTGGTGATGACTAACAGTTAATTATAGGGTCCAGGCGGTCCAAGCCAATGTGGCATCCAGATGAATCTGACTGTAATCTGAGTCTTCCCGGCTTTTTCTGCAGTTTCACCTAAAAAAACAAAAAAAAAAAACAAACAAAAAACAAAACCAACGTTCTTTCTTTAGACCAGACTCAGTGAAACAAAAATCAAATCTCTAACTCACATTGTTTACCCCATAAACACTGGATCTTCACAGTTTATTAACCTCTATGTTGGATTTCCTCGTCTGGAAATGCACCAACAGACACAACAACACGTGGGTTTTACTTCAGTGTCCCAGTTCTGTCACGGGCTACTTTGTAAAAGGAAAGATGTGAATCTTTAAACCGGGCCACAGATCGGGTCATGGTAATAAAGGAAAGTGCCACTCAGTGCAATGGCCCTTTCTGCTAATGTGTTTTTAATAGTTTCCTGGAAACATTTGTGCCGTTTGGCCTTGACTCCACAGACAGTCCCAGCTGGTAAGGATCATGTCAGTTACTGGTTTCCTCTGGTCATGTGACTTGTAAATAAATACAGTGAAATGAGGGTGGTCGTGGTGTTCGACAAACAAATAGGAGTACAAGTATTTCCATTTGTGTGCCCGTCAATACCGAGGAATGCCACGGATACCTTCGGGTTCCAGTTACTGTTCCATGAACTCAAAGGCAGTACTACGCAGTACTACGCAGTACAGAGGGTACAGCTCTGAGGGAGATAGAGTGAAGCGTGTACCAGCTCCAACCCAAACCACAGTGAGAACACCAAGAAGGAAAGTACTTACAGACCAGACCAGACCAGACCAGCTCATCAGGCTGTTTCACATCAAAAAAACACTGCTGTCACATCAGACCACAAATCCATTTTTTTTTCAACTTTTTAAAAATAAAAATAAACTAAACTTTTGATTTGAAAAATTAATATGAAAAGAGACAGCCATTCACAGTGAACCGTCAATCCTTGATCTCCTGAACAGCAGGATCACCAATTACCAGCGGGGATCAAACCTGTCATCCTCTTAGGACATGAACACCAACCACCCTCCCACTGCGTGGCCTCACCGTTACAAAGTTGGAAAGTTCTGCTTTGACCAGTTTGTAGAACTCGTCTCTGCTCAGAGTGTCAGACGAACCCTCAGAGCCGGCGTACACCTTGAACTTCGACACCAGCACGTTAATGGCAGACTCCATGACGAACTGCAGACGAGAAAACCTGGGTCAGTGGTTAGAACGACACTCAAATCACAGCATCAACAGATCAGATCGTCATCATCAGATATGGAAGCATTAGTCAGACATATTGTACTGTACCGTACTGTACTGTATAGACATATTGTACCGTACTGTACCGTACTCACCAGCTCAGGTCTCTCAGTAGGCTCCAGTAAACTGCACCAACACCAGTGTCCCTGCTCTTTTTGTAGCCCACACGTCCTACGGAGACTAAACATTCACTAAATTGTCTCTACACATTTACAGCTCGGTGTTTTCGGAGCAGTTTGTTCAACAGGTTTCCTTGACATCAGAGATCATTTTTTCCATGATGCAAGTACGTTTTCGAGATCATGAGAGGAGGCGTGGATATGGTGGTGGGTCTCGTTTCTCTCTTCTACTGTGAGGTTATTCATTTACTCAAAAGTACTGAGAAAAGACAACATATATATATATAGTAAATGTATTCCTTATGTAAAGGAGCGTGGGAAATAATCTGTTACGGGGATAATCATTTCAGCTTTAACTGTATGGATATAAATATGCTGCTCAGTAATGATGGTGATTATTATTAGAATGTCATTACTTAGAGGCAGAGAAACAGCTTTAGCTTCTTCTTTTTGTCTTTTATGAGCCTTTCACACAGACAGACTTAATGAATTCTCTAGCCCCTGACCCTAACCCTGTTACAGATTAATCTTTAATCCTAATCTTAAACCTTACCCTAACTCTAATCTCAATCCAGCACCTAGAAAACAATCCTCTCTCAGCCAGTGTGTCCCCACAAGTACAGTATAACTACACAGCAGCTGTAGCTGAACCAGCAGACGTCCAGTCTCTTGGCCGCCATCGAGGACGGGCAGAGCTAACACTTAACAAACGGCCCACAGAGCGGAGGTGGTAATCACAGGACTACAGTACAGTATATACTGCCGCTCACTACAGCGTCTAAGCATCGGTGTAGTTCACGGGGCCGTGGAGCTGCTTGGTCCTGTGATTGATGCTGCGTTGGACGTGTGTTTGTGTCGAAGGACTTGTTTGTCCATATTTCCTGATTGCCTACAGTACTCACACATCCATCTCACAGTCTTCAGAGCTCAGAGCTCTGAGAAAATACAGAGGGGTGGTGCTGGGGTCAGGCCAGTAGGGGGTTGATTAACACAGTCGAGGGCTGCCGTCACATGCACTCATTTCATTCTGATTGGTCATCACATTAAGAGCATGAAGAGGCGTGAGACAAAAACGTACTTGGGCTTATACTGAGGAGGTCAGAGCCCAGGTCCCTGGTCCACACGATGGGCTTATACTGAAGAGGTCAGAGCCCTGGTCCACACGATTCTTTTTTTTATGTTAAGGAAAAGACAGAGAAGGAGAGTGCAGTGACACGCCCTGAGACTACACAAGGATCTGCACTTTGATCAATGACGCTGCTGGCAGAAATTTGAAATCCTGACTGTTAATACCAGCACCATATAGGTCTGATGACCTTTGAGTGTTTTAACAGGCTTCAGTTATTCATGCCAGTGTAATGAATAACACAGACATAGACATGAGTGGGTAAATAACCACAGGAGCATCTCTAGGCTAGTTTCACAATTACAGAAAACATCAACTCAAACTCAAAGTAAAAACAATAACTGTTCAAATAAACCTGGAGACACAAAGACTCACTGAGACAAAAAAACAAAAAAATCAGTTATACTGACCTTTGATAGGTAGAAATACAATATAGTGAATAATGAAATTACACTGGCGCCACCCGGTGGGGGGTATGTTAGTAGTCTTGCCCTGCAGCAATACATTTCTGTCTCTGAATGGAGTCTGTTTTCAGTGTTTTCTCCAGCTTTAAAAACATTAAGTGGTTCACTCTAAAATAGTGTGAATGCATGCGTGAATGGACCCTGCCTGAGCCCAAGGACTGCTGGGATTGACTGCAGCTTGACCTTTGACCCTAACAAGGATGAAGCATAAGAAGATGAGAGCATGAATTGATGGCATCAACAAACATCTCAGAATCAGAGCAAACAGAAATACATTCAAAAACACCACCGTGCACAGATGTAGAAAAAAAACGACAATGATTCCAAAAGTGACTTTGTGACACATGGACCCAGATTTATTATTACAAATATTAATAAAATTAATATACTTGTGCCTTCTTAAGAACATGTGACGATATATAGTTGCCAGCGATGCCACGAATACTATCTATCACATCAAAAACATTACAAATACACAACAAATCAACCATTTTAGTGCAAAAAAAAAATATGTACGTACCTGAAACAGCACACATGCTGCAAATCAACCATTTTAGTGCAAAAAAAAATGTACGTACCTGAAACAGACAAACACAAACATCTCAGTGTTTTGTGCCCCTTTTTTTTTTTTTTTAATAATGGCAGACTAAATAAAATAAGTTAACTAAATATCTTTGAGCAGAGTTCTTAAAGGTTTAAGTCTTATGTACAAAAAAACAGTAAAGAATCATTTTAGGAATTCACATTCATTTCATCCTTAAAGAACAGAGTCAGGCCAAAGTAACTACAGGCCTGATGAGTGGAAATTCAACAGCGAGCAGTTATAATGTGTGACTTCAAGTGAAGATTAGGATGAAACATTTTTACTGCACAGTATTAATATTATGGCTGTCAAGATGACCTCATTAAACGCTGTATTTGTGAAATTAATCAGATTAAAAATGTTACAAATTTTTGAGTCACGTCCAGAACAACGTGCAGTGTTTATCCAAAAAACTCCACAGTCCAGGTTTGTGTCCGATGTTTTACCAGCCGACGCTAAGATAAACAGTAATGACTAAAATCTATAAAGGTCAATTTGCAGTCATACGTTTGTATATATTTCAAGTCATCTTTCCATATTAACAATCCCATCATTTGGATTAGTCACAAATATACATCTACCTGCTGTTATTTGTTTTTCTGTTACAGCAATATACAGAAAGAATGTTTTTCATATTTAGGAATGTTGAATTGACTGATCATGATCAATCCACAGCTACCTGGTGGGTAAATCTAAAAAAAAAAGAGGTCATAATTCAACCCTTTGACAGCCCTAATACTACAGTGTTACAGAGAGTGAGATCAGATTAATGTTTAACTCAGACTTACTCTCACAGTGTGACACAAGGTTTCCATCTAAAATGTGAGTCTAAATCGTCAGCAGAAACAGCCAGAACAGGCAGACACTGACAGAATGATAAATGCGTCCTACTGAGAATTTCTCTTCCAATAACAAATGTTCCTTTTGAATAACCTCACCTGTCACTGCTCTTCTTGGCTACACCTGACAGATCTATTTTTTCTTCCTTTTTACTTTAGCCACGTCCTCGACCACTCTCTTTTTTTAGCTCCTCTTTGATTCTACCCTCTTTCTTGGCTCCTTTAGCCACTGAAAACTTTCTCAGGACTTCTCTCTCAAACTCTTCCATTTCTTCCTCCAGGACGCTGTCTTCCTCTTGGCCGTTGTCATCCTCCTCCACCATGTCCTCCAGGATGTCTTCCAGGTCGTCCACAAAGTCGTGAAAGTTCATCTGGTCGTGAGCAAAGATGCCGTCTTTGAAGAACTCTGCCGCCAGCTTTTTGAGCTCCTCTCGTTTGTACGCTTCCACTCCTGCTTCTTCAGCCTTGGCGATGTATTTCTGGAGGACAGCGTCAAACTCGGCATAGGGGACAGGAAGCAGGCCGTCGGTGGTGGCGCAGGCCTCCGGCGTTTCACAGTTCTGTGGAGGAGTGGGGCTGTGCAGGAGCCTCTCCCTCTGCTGGGCCCAGTACTCAGGCTGCCCCAGGGAGGGGCGCCGGTGGCTTTTATGAGCACTGTCCTTCGTCCACAGAGACTCTTCCTGGTGATCAACACCAGACATTTTTTGCATTTTTCTGTCCTTGTGTTTCTGGGAGCTGGAGCTGTCCTTTTTCCTGTCCTCACTGTGTCCCATTTCTTCCTGTCCTCTCTTCCCATTCTCCTTTTTCTTTTCCCACTGATTCCCCTCATCCTTCCTTTTCCTTTCCTTTCTGTCCTTACCCTCGTTACTCGTCCACTCGTCCTTTTCCCAGTGTTTCCTCTCATCTTTCCTATCCCTTTCAAAATTGTGTCTCTTGCTGTGATTTTCGCTGCCCTCCGACTGTTTCCTTTCACCTTGATGTTTCTGTTCTTTGCCTCCATCTTTCCCACTTTTGTCACTCCACTCCCCATCTTTCTTCCACCCTTTCTTCTCTCCCTTCTTCCAGTCCTTCTCCCATTTCTCCTTGTCACTCTCCTTAATGCCACCGTGCACTTTCCTCCATTCTTTCTCTTCCTTCCTGTCTTCCCGGACCCCGTGCTTCTCTCTGTGATCTTTTGCTCTCTTCCAGCCCTCCTGTTCACCCTCCTTCACTTTCTCATGCTTTCCTTTCCTCCAGTCTTTCACGTCCTTATGATTTTTTCTCTCACTCTTTTCTGTCTCCTCCCTCCTCTCGCTCCTGTCCTTCCACGGCTTTCCCTCGTCCCCTCTGCCCTTCTTATCTTTCTTGGATTCATTCTTTTTCCAACGTTCTGTTTCCCCGTCCTGCCTTTTCTGTTTTTCTTCACCATCTTTCACCTTGTCAGACCTCCTTTGCTCGTATTTCTCTTCTTTTTTATCTCCTTCTTTGTGCTTCTTTTTCTCTCCCTCCTGCCTTTCAGATTTTTCTCCCCCTTTCCATGGCTTATTTTCCCCAGTGTCATATTTTTCCTTCTTTTCTCTCTGATTGCTCCACAGTTTTCTGGCAGATGTGTCCTGCCTGCTGTTCTCTGCTTGGCCACTAAAGGGTGATGTGGCAGTGTTCACAGGTGGACGAGCTGCCTCACTGGCTACAGGGGGAGAAACAAGGAGTTATTATGGCTCTAAAAATAAATGCAAAAAAACAAAACAAAACACCTACTACTTTACCAAACTTTCTGCTAACTAACATTCCTCTACATCTATTACTCCATCACCTCTGTCACTTTGTACCTGAGGAACGTTTTAATTCAGTCACAGTTGATCTCAGTGTTTCTACTTCTTGCTGAAGGGACCGCACACTCTCCAGCTCTCGCGTCATCCTCTCATTTTCATTCTGAAGAAGAGACAGAGACGCTGCCTGTGTCTTTAACCTACTGTTTTCCTCCCCCATCTCCTCCCACAGCAACCGCTCCTTCGCTCCATCTGCTATCTGCTCCTTGGCTACTTTTAGCTCTTCATTTTGTGCCTGTTTAAAGGAAAAAGAACAGGACAAAAAGTTAGAGCTAATTAAACACAGGCTGACCTGTTTACGCTCACACACAGACAAGCGTGTATTTGCAGCTGTGTACACTTATACACATATTCACGGGGGGAAAATAAGGTGAGACAGAATGGAGTCACACCTGAAGTTGGGCTTGGAGCACAGAAATCTGCTCGTTTCCTTTTGGCAAATGACTTAGAGGCTCTGTAGCGTCAGCATCTGCTGGAGGTGGAGGAGCCTCTTTACTGAACCACTCCTGTCAACAGGATGAACAAAAAGGACAAAAAGGATTGAAGGGAAATTACAGCCAGTGTTAATAAAGACAGAAAAGACAGATGGAAATAACTGAAAACTTTTTTTTTTTTTTACACAAGAGCAGATTTATGTAGAATACAGGATCTTATAACCTAAAACAGTAGTTTATCATAGTGGAGCACGGTCCCTTCTTTAGAGGGAGGTGCTGGAATGCAAAAATAATAATAATTAAAATGAAAAAATTAAAATTCATTATTAGAACCACATTGGGGCAACTGTGCTGATTTGTTACTTTGTTTCCTTTTTTTAATGAGTAACAGTTTTCTTGACATAAAGTTCATTGGGTTTTTTTAATGAGTAACAGTTTTCTTGACAAAGTTCATTGGGTTAATGAATCAAAAAAAAAAAAAAAAGAAAAAGTCAACAATACACAAACTACCATAGGAGTGCGCTGCAGAAGAAGTTTGCTAAAAAGATTTTGAATTCAGTCTGACCTGTTTTCCTGGAGCCTCAGAATCTGGAACCTCCCTTTTACCAAAGTCACCCTCTGAAATGCATTTAAAAACTGTTATCGTATAGAAATACAATAACAAATAATTTTTAGCAAGCAATGTTGTTAGAGAATTTCAAAAATACTAAACATTCAGGTAAAAGTTCCTCTTATTAAAAAGGTTGGTACATAAATGAGGAAATGTAATGCAGTGCTGTAACTTAATAGGTACATAAATGAGGAAATGTAATGCAGGGCTGTAACTTAATAAATAAAAATCATTAAATGTAAGTTTTAAAATTGATTAATTACTACATTCCATGATTTTTGCTTAAACCTTTTATCAGCTATTTATATGAAGTGAATTTCAGGCAAAAGTTTCTAAACAATGTTTTACAATTCTTCCCTACTGCAAAAATTACCCTTCAAAATTACCCGGCTTGACGCCCCTCCAGCTACATAAACACAGCTTTATAGCTTTCAGTTTTAGATGGATTTTTTTTAAGTGTACCAACTTTTCTAGTAACAGGATTTATAACAAAAAGAAAATTAAAAAGACAAAAAAAAAGACTGAAAAGCTTTTCATTCAATGATTGAAAACCATGCATCTTTTGACTTTTATCAATTCCTTGACACAAAAATGGATGGGGTGAAGTACAAGATTTTCATCAACAGCAAATAAGTCTCATGTGCAGATGTCAAATCTCTCAGCCTTGTACAGTAACATGCCTTGCACATGCACATCCCACACAAACAAACAGAAGCCGCTTGCAAGGAATCATACTGTACATCCACAGCCAACCTACCCTGATCCAGGTCCATGAAGACACCTGCAGGCATCATACACCTCAGTGTTTGAGTCAGTTTCATCTCTACTTCTCTTAACATTGATAATACCAATAACATTATGTAAAAACAAATATTTCCTTCTCTCAGAGTGAGTGAACAGGCGATTCTTACCAGAGATGAAGATGGTGCCCAGACCGAGCAGAATGACGGCACAGATGATGCACTTATTCAGCGTGATCCCGCCGTCTTCCTCTCTCTGTGGCACCTGAAACTGCTCTCTCTCCTCCTCCAATTTCGTCCCAATTTCTTCCAGAGATGCTAAAAGAGTCTTCCTCCTCCTCAGCTCTGGATCTTCTCCCTTTTCTGGCCTTTCAGACGTTTCCTCTTAAAGAACACGGTGGGGTCAGCAGAAGCAGAGAGAGAGAGAGAGAGAAGCATAAAGAGTCTTACATCAGTATGAGAACAGGAAAAAAAACACATTCTGGATCTGTCAGCTTTATGAACTAAAAAACTGACACATGACTTCACTAAAGGTTTTGCTCCTCTGAGGATATGAGATTGCAATGGTCTGATTCCACAGAAGAAGTGGATGAAAAATGACCTCGTTATTGTTACCTCACCCTTACCTGTTATTATAACATAAATACAAACAAAAGGTTGTATTCACTGTGATGATGCACCATCATATCAACAAGTAGACAAATGTCAGTAACTACCTGAACTCAAAGTCAGTTTCTATAGTAACTCAGACTGTGCTCTTAACCAGGTTATGTAAGGATGTAACCAGAGACACAACAGTGCGTCAACCACGATACTTTCATTTCACTCAGTAAAAAGAAAAAAAATTGGGTTCTGTTATTTTTGTCAAGATTACACTGCAGGGGAAAAATGCTGTCCTAAGAGCTGCAGAACAAACATACTAGACTGCAAAAAAAAAAAAAAAACTTTTAAAAATGTCAGTCCCTTTGAAACCAATTTACTTCTGTTCCTTTTGTCGCACAGCTTTGCTGCTGAGCACACGGTGCCCTGAGTTTCTGTCACATCATTGCCCTCCCTCCTCAGACCATCCACAGTCTCTGTAGACGACCTCCTGACCCAGACAGAGAAGAAATCCAGGAGCAGCTGGCCCATCAAGGCCACCTCACACATTAACTAGTTTTTGGTTGAATATACAAAAGGATGAAGAGCTCACACAGACGTAGAATCTCCTGATTTTTGTATCTAACCAACACGTGTACAGAACCTTCAGCACTTTCGGGCACAGACGTGTTCCCCTAAATCTCCTGATTTTTGTATCTAACCAACATGTGTACAGAACCTTCAGCACTTTGGGCACAGACGTGTTCCCCTAAAGAGGACTAGATATTCACAAGAGGTCAATACAGTATTTGTGAATCTGACTGGACAGAAAGTAATTTTCAAACCTTCCTGTTTAGCCGACGTAGGGATTTTGGAAGACGTGGCGGATTTGTCATCTTCCTTCTGAAGCCGGTCTTCATCGTGTGAAGACAAAGCCTCTTCCTCTAGTTGCCTCTGTTCCTCTGGATCAAAGTGTTCTCCTCTGAGGGTCTCTGTGCTGGGCTGCAGTTCTGAGGCCTCGTCAGAGGATGGTGTGATGTGTGTGTAGGAGTCAGAGAAGGATTCAGGGTCAGAGCTGGACTGAGCCGGACCCTCAGGCAGGCCCTCTGTGAGCTTGTGTGCATCACTGACTGACACAGAGCTGCTGGAGACCTTCAAAGAAGTAAAAAGAGGAACATCAGTGAGGGCAGCTGTCCTACGGGCGTGATATTCTGCACTTTTGTCATCAATTAGCTCTGCAGCTTCATCTTCTGACATCTGGAACCAGGTCAATGACATTCTATAAGGTACACAGCTGGAAGGGTTCCAACTCTTTGCTTTATATATATATAAATATATATGTAAATATAGATAGAGAGAGACAGAGGTCTGTGGCCCTGTGTGAGAATCCCTTCATGTCAGTGGCCACTGTGGACCAATTTTAACAAGGTTTTTCAACAGGAATGGCACTAGTAGTAGTGATACAACCACAAAGTCAATCAGAAACTGGAAACTGAAGAACTGCTCTCAGGTGACATCCAAATTTTGTTGGCAGGTTGTGCCACGTGAGGTGCTATGCTAGCTTGAAGTACAGAACTAATGTGAAGAAAGGAAGAAATAATTTTACAGAATAACTTTTCCAGGACATTTGACTGTTTTTAATCATCATTTTTACTTAGTTTTGTTAATAAGATGTAAATAGGCATCGAAATTACTCTATTGCCAAGTAACTGGAGAACGGGAAAAGCAAATTAAACTCTGCTTATTAAAATTAATTACGACTGAGGTAAAGGTAGAGCTAATTACCCAATCTTATTCACATAATTAGCTAAGCACTTTGACAGATATTAATCTACAGTGCAGCATATCTCACCATGTGTTCCTCCACAGGAGACCTGTTTGAAGATGCTTCACCCCCTGCTGTCTGGCTCGCTCCAGAGTCTGGTTCAAAACAAAGAAACAGAGGAAAAAGAAAAATAAACTTTTACAGTTTAGCAGCAGCCAAACAAAGTTTGAATTTAACCTTTTAGAATGGTGCAGTACAGTGTTTCTATGAATTTATAATCAACGTGATACCGCAGTTATATTTACATAAACATTTCTATTTTTAAACATACTTGAAATTCTATGCCAAAGTGTGAGAAAGACAGAGAAAGAGAGGTGAAAACAAAAAGATAAAATGCAATGTGTTTTTAGTAATTGACATGCTTTGTATGGCAGCTAATAGAGTCCTTCTTATGCCATGGAAGATTAAATAAAAATAAATAAATTAACAAACACCTGGTTCATGATGTTCAGTTCCTTCTGCCAAAGGCCTCAGGGTCTCAGCAGCAGACTCCTACAAACAAACATCAGTCGAAGGATGTAACAGAAAAATTACTGCAGCGGCAGTAGTTTTGTGCATGACTCCTAGTAAAAAAACATTAAAAAAATAGCCGTGGTAAAAAAAGGAAGCATAAACTAACAGAGAGGTCTGTGTGTGTAACTAGTTCTCACACCAGTGCTTCCTAGGGCCAGTTTTCTTTTAGGTTTTATAAAAAGCAAGACACGCACAGAGTATTATCACAGAAACCTACTTTCAGGTGACCCAAAAAACTGTTTTAAAATCCGTGTTTAAACGTTCTCTTTCAGGTCATTCTCCTACAACTCTATACATCACTACTGTATGTTCTCTACAGTCTGGTGATACCTCTGGAGTGAGGATGGTCCAGTTGTTGCTGGCACTGTTTTCACCAGACATAGCCCTTGGGAGGCTTATCCTGTCTCCTGCAATGTCAAAGATAAGAATGTTTTTAGTAAAAGATTTTGTAAAAAAAAAAAAAAAAATCCTGCAAATTCTCCTCTACATCAGAGGAGACGTAGGTCAAGTCTAACAGTAAAAGAGGGCTAAAGGTCAGACCAGAGTCCGGCCAAGACCACATAAGACAAGACGATAAGATATGATAAGACACCGTAAATAATGCACCACAATAAGATGGACTTTTTATTAATTGGTAATAAAAGAACGCACCCCAAAGAAAGATATAATATATATATATATATATATATATTTACAAGAAAGTGATAACAATGGTTATGAATGTGATGACCATATTGCACCAATGTAACCTGAAACACCTACTCCCAACGAGCCAGTGTTCTGTCCAGTTGTGGCACCATGTGACCACAGCATCATCATCATCATCATCATCAGCATCATCTAGTTCACATCACGTGCACGACACAGGATTTGAATATACAGTATGCTCTACTAAAGAGCCTCACCCATTTGGGCAATAAAGGATCTAATGTAACATGTTGACAACAGGTTGTTCTGTGTATGTGCAGGAAGTCAGGTTCGCCGGATGCATTTAGCTCTTCATTAGTAGTTTGTGCGTGTGTGGGCCTCTTGATCACCCGGCCTTTTGACGAGCTGGGAAATGTTTTGGCAGAGACACGCGTAACCAAGGCTGGCACTATACTAGAGATACAGGCAACAGAATGAGCTGCCCATTTTCAAAGCTACTGTTGAATGGATGTCTAGAAACTACCAAACAGCAACTGTAAGGTGCATTCAACATAGAATATCAGTCAGGATTTAAAAATAAATTTAAAAAAAATTACATTAACCAAATATTATCCAGATGATGACAAAGGACATCTGTATTCATTATAACTAGAACAACCCACGTCATTCACCACCCGATTGTCGGTGACAATGACACACTTCATGACTAAATTCAATTTAGGTCTCCTAATCAAGTGACTCCCCAGAGAAGTTTACAGAACATAGCTTTAAGGCCCAGAGGGTATTATAGAGTATATGGAGGAAAGGTTTAAATAGACACCAGCTAAATATAGCCACCAGGAGATTGAGCAGAGACATTGAGGAGAGAATGTGAGGAAGACGGCCTGAGGAAAGACAACAGGATGTAGTCAAAAGAGGCTTTTTAAAACGGTTGTTTAAACGCAGTGCAAAGCATGTAGCTTTTAAAAGAGACAAATACCCCTTACTGCCTTCAGGTCGACCTTTACTTAATGTTTACAAGCAGGGCCAGAACTGCAACTCTGCATGTAAAAGACACTACCTATGTCTGTCTGAATATTAAACAAAAAAAACAAAACTCAAATATCATACGTATACCTTGTTTTCTTGTGCAACACGCAGCCATCCGCAAACCTAATCTCATCATCGTGGCCTCAGCAAAGAAATAACGCCAAAAATGGTCAAGAGAATA